TACAATTGACCCCTCTATAACACTGTTGATAATTCTGTTCTATATGAATTCCATGTTGTATGAGTCACTTAGATTTTACAAATATGTATGCCGGGCTGTGGACAGCTCATGTATTTGTAAAATCTAAGTAACTCATACAACATGGAAGTCATATAAAATGGAATTATCAACAGTGTTATAGGGGAGTTGACTGTAATGAGTAAAATCATCATTAAGTCCAACCCAACTGGAGATACACATGACCTCCACTATCTCCCCACCCCTTGACCTTAGATCACCAAAATTTAATATCATCAATCCCACTAATAAACCTCCCTACAAAATTTCAGAAATTTTCAACAAAAAGAACAGGAATTATTAACCTTCAAAGAGGGCGAACAAAATCATATCACAGGTGTGCACACAAACATTCATACACACAAAAAAATCCTCAAATTTTTTTGAATTTCTTGACATTTTAAGGTCCCGAGTCCAAAAATGTAAAAATCTTCAAGGTTGTTTCTTGACCAATTGCCATAGTTTCCCTCTGTTATATATAACAGAACTGGGAAAGTAAAAGATAAATAACTGAAATGAAGTCAAACATGACATTAACTAAATTAAACCCATCACTCAAATAAAAAAGGAGTCAATGAATATTAGCATTAATAGTAATATTTCAAACATTCTTATAGTTCATAATTATAAAATATTTGAATTTTTCATTTTATAAAATAAACTTTGTATCTAATATAAATTACTGTTCATTTATTATTAAATTTCAAACATTATTGTAATATAATCTCAATTTAAAATATCTGATTACATAAGTAAAACATTACATTCTACATTCCTAAAATTAAAGTATTATTCTAACAATAATAAAGCTTCATGAAATTCTTCATAATTATTACCTTTTTTTAAATAATTTCTGAGCCATAAGTGAAAATAATCCTATACTTAAAAAGAACAGGATCAAAACATTCAGAATATCGGGCAATGTCCTCCTAATATTTCGAAATGCTCTTCTTACCTAAAATAATTTTAACAGGAATAAAGTTTATTTGAAATCTTAATAAAATTTATTATTCTTATAATTGAACATAACTTTATGGGTATTAAAAATATTAATTCTGTTTCTTAATTTGTTTAAAGTTTTTCAAATTCACTCAGTAATTCAGACTTTTTTTATTGAATATAAAATAATTTTAAAACTTCAATCTTTATTAAATTATCCATTACAGAGCTTTGCCATAAATTTATACTCCAAAAACATAAATATTTAATGTAAATGGATTCAAAACATTCAAAGCAGACATAAATTAACAAATGAACATTTAAATTAAAAAGAAATTTCAGCATATTAAAGAAAAATTTGAAATCTATAATATCTGAATAGTATTTAATTAGCTAAAATGTAACTTGATAATAAATCAAGCTTCATTCTTTGATTAACTTATTTTTGCCTCATACTTTAAATTTATTATTACAAATGACAGATGATATTTTTTTAAAATATTTTATAAGCATAAAATTGTGAGAAAATACTGAGCTAAATCAGTTATCAATTCATGTACAAGTAAAATAAAATGTAATAATTATTATTAGTTATTTAATAAAAACAATTATTAAATAGCTAAAAAAATTAAGAATTATCTCTTTTATTTAATTTAAGCAAATTAATTTTGATAATTCATAATTCTAGTTTGAACGCTTATGTTTACTTAAGAGAAATAAAGAATTGTTACTTATCAATTCTTATCTTTACTTTTTAATAATTGTTTATTATCTAATTACTTATCAGAAGCTAATATATATCTCTATATTAATCCAAATACTACTTGTCTGAATCACCAATATTTGGGACTATTAATTTAACTAAAACCAAAACATTGCTGAACAAATCCAACAAGTTGATATTGGATTAAAATTGATAATTTGGGATTAATGGTTAATTATATAATCATCTGTAATTTTCTGTTAAGAGAAACACTGTATATAAAATTTACATTTTATGTTTATATAAAATAGCTTATTTTAAATTTCATTATAGCTTAAAACTATATCTAAATTATTACAGGTACAAGACTATAGACTATGTCACTTATGTTGGTGCAGGTCTCATCATCACTAACTGTTATTTTTGATCCTGAACAAAGTTAGGACTCTTCTTGTGTATATTTTTAAAAGATCTTCTGGCATAATTTTTAACAATGATTCAAATGAAGGATACAACGTTTACACAAAAGAACATTAGAAAAAAAATTTATGCTAAGNTAACACATAAACTTTTAAAGTTTCATCAATTAATTCTTAACAAATTTTATTATAAAGCATAAGATTAAATATAATTTTTATATTCTAATAAGAAAAATTTGGAGTCTGAATAAAAGATATTTAAATAAATAAATTTATGCAGTAGAGATTTATTTTTTAAATATAAAATAAATCTTAGAAATATCTGATTTTATAAATTCAACTAACTAAAATAAAAGACTATACCTGTTTATTTTCACTGAAGTTTATTATAAAAATAGGACGAAGTGGTCTTGACCATCGAACCGAAATATCAGAATGTCCAGCATTCACTAGTACAGCATAACAGATCATATCTATACCTGTTAATAGTATTGCAGATAAAATAAGAAGATTTTTCTTATCACGCCAAAATTTATCAAGAGGAAGAAATGAAGCTAAATGCAGAAGACGAAATACGTAAAATGAAAGACATGCTAGCTCAAGTGCCATTGTAACCTGTAAATGGAAGAAAGAATTATTTTGTCATCTGTTGTTAAATAAACATCAATATTTTTACTGCATTAATTTATAATTTCACAAATTTTTAAAAACTTTAATGAGTTATCTACCCAATATGGAAGTTCCCAGCTTTTGAAAGCAGGTTTTTCAAATACAGCTACAAAATGATGTAATAAGATGAAAAAGTAAAGTAGGTATCTAAGACCACTATGATGATATATTATATACATTCTGAAAAATTTAGACAAAAAAAAAACCAATAATTTATTTAGAAATTGTTTTTCGTTTACAAAATTCATATATAGATATCATGATAAAATATTTTTTAAAATTTTAATATTAAAGTTTCAATAAAAGTATTTACCTCACACTTTTATCATTCATTTCAAAATCTGAATGACGACCATTTTTTGCATCAACAACTAAAGTTGAAGCTAGAATTAAATTCTAAGATAGAAAAAGAAAATCTTTATTATTTGATCTATAGTAATTCTTTATGAAAATATTCTAATTTAAACCATACTTAATTCTTATGAATTTATTTACAATAAAAATAAATAAATAAATATTTTTATCAAGTAAAGTTGTAATGTTTAATATGACTAATACTTCATTATATTCTTCTGCCACTTCCTAACTGAGACTATCAAAATACCAATATATTAGTCATATTGAACATTACAACTTCACTTAAAATTTGCTTAAGCCACCCCAAATATAAAGCAATTTTTATTTTTTTGTTTTATGGCTTTTTTTAAATAAAAAAAAGCTTTAAGATCCATTATTTTACCAGAATAAGTGCATCTCAACTTAACGTGAACATGATTTCTGTTACAGCTATTCTCTTAACATTTTACATATTTA